AGGTCACAGCATACCTCTAAGCACACCTTGGGCCGATGTTGATTATGTGTGCATGTCAATCCTGCTAACCAACAAAGCTCATTGGATGCTCGGTATGCTAATATTTAGAAGCCATACGTTGACGGTATTCAATTCGGTTGGTAAACGTTATCACGACTGGAAGGCCCTATAAGGTATTGAGCCATATGTGAAAACATTGCCTGCTCTAATGAATGCAATGAAAATTTCAAAAAAGAACCCTGATTACAATGAATTTGAATGCATGGAATTGAAGATGATTGTCGATAGTACCCTACCTCAGCAGACAAATGGGTAAGTATGCGACAAATCATACATGTATAACTTGTAAAATAAACACACCAATAACATAATGTGTTGTGTTGTGTTGTTTTGCAGTCACGATTGTGGAATATTCGTTATTTTGTACGCCTTATATATCCTCCATGACGGCAGAAGTTACATACCGCATAAATTTGATGCCAGCATGTGTAAATTGGATATTGCCTCGCTCCTATACAAACACAGAGAGAATTACGTGAAGAAGGCAAGGCATGCTACAAAAGAGGAGGGGATAGTCATAGAATGAGTATTGGAATTAGATTTGTAAATGAATTTTATGACCTGCAGATTGTACCTTTTCATATTTTCTAATACATTAAAGTTACTCTAGTGAATACTGCCGCATGTTTCAATTCGTAATGTGTCATCGTTTGTTATGTATGTGTTGATACCCATTTCATGCATTATGCATATGTGAATGTGAGTTACAAGTCACAGATCACAGTGTGATGTGAAATCAAGGTCACATATGCATTCTTGACACCACACGTCACAGTTATTTGTGTAACTGAGTATAGAATGCATATGTGGGTAGGAAAAACATGTCACAGACCACGTTTTCGTTAGGAAAGGTAGGTCACATATTACTATTTGGCCCCCACACGCTACTAGAATGTTTTAAAATTATTTCAAAAGACAGATGTGGATGTGCAAGACATGTCACAGATTATTGTTGTATATGTAAAACATTAGTCATATATCCTTACTTGATACAACAGGTCACAAGCATGTTTAAAACTACTAAAAGTAGGTCACATATACTTTCACTGACACCATAGGAACTCAGGTCACAAAGACAGTGAGTTTATGACAAGCATGTCAAATATACCTGCTTTGGAGCACAGGTCACAGATAAGGATGAGTTTATGACAAGCAGGTCACATATATTTGCTTTAAAACCCAGGTCACATAGCAAAAAAGAATAAGCATTTGCGACAATGTGGTCACATAGATTTTGCTATGTAATTCACACCGTACTTTTAAGACATCAAATCACAGTTACACAATATTAAATGTGACATTCGATGATGATTTCGACGTTTGATATTCAAATAAATGTTTCAAATAAAATAATGTGATATAGTATTTGTTGTATCTGTCTCCTCTATTTATTGTTTTCCGATTACATAGTGTTATTCTCCCTATCTTCTCAATGCAATGATATCAAACTTGAGCATCTCATGCGGGTGTAACTATGTCCACCACAACGACAACTTCGTATTGCACTTCATCAGGAACTTTCCATTCGTTTGGATTTCCAACAGGATATATAGAATCTTCATACGCATTCACATATGCATTTCTTGTCTAATAATAAGAACAGTAAGCATATGGATCCCTCTTTGTATTTGCAATTACGGCCAAGGCGTGCAGACATGGTAACAAATCGACATGTAGCTCCTGCACGTGCACATACACGTACGTTGTTCAATATCAACAAAAAAGATGGACTTTTCATCGCTGACAGAAAATTCTGACTGATTGGAAGGAGATACCTATGAGAAAGCAAAATCAAGAATGGTGGTTGTAAATACAAGCAGCAAAATATAAAATCACATACATTCGGTTTAGATTACATATACAACAGCAAACACATACATATCTTATCACACTCTACATTCAAGGTCACAGACATATGTTTTTGGCCACATATGATAGGTTTAGGTCGCAGACAATTACGTCGAGGACAAAATGCATTCTGTCTATGTCAAATATACAAGATTCATGCACACACATATGTTGTCACATTATAAATACGTTTTCACAGTGTACAATCCAGATCACATGCAGTTAGACAGGTCACATTCATAAATATCAGCAGTAAAGTAAATAAGCTACCCTCAAGTTCCTTAACTCTACATTCATTTTCCTAATTGTGTTCTCATACTTAGTGGACAACGTCGTGAACGTTCCATATTCGTCATCTCTATGTTTACGGAACCAATTTTGTACAGTCTGTCGTAATGACTCCAGCAAGGATACAATTGGGTAATTTTTCCCTGCCTTTGTGACCGAATTGACTGATTCTATAATGTTTGATGTCATTGTAGAATATCCGTTTGCCAACATATAGATTCGTGACCACATTTCAGGTCCAACATCAGCCTACAAAATGTACACTATAAATTAATACCATATAATTGACACGTGACCATTTCAATATATGTGACAATGTATTCAGATGCAATTCAATACCAGGTATCCACGAATATTCTCGTCCATTGTGTACAGACGTCTCATGTTATATTCAAATTCTTCCAACGTGTAAACGAGGACAGTTGAGTTGAAAGCAAGTGTAATATTATGTCCTGATTTTCCATAATATGACTTCAAATTTTGCAATAAATGATACGAGCAAATAACATGATATGTTCCAGGATAAACATGCTCTATTGTATTCTTTATATTGGTATGACGATCTGACATAAAACATATTCCTTCTCTGTAACCATATGCCTTTTTCAGGTTCTCCAAAAACCATCTCCAAGATTTTTCGTTCCCATTATCCGGTTAAGGTTTTCGTTCTTGCTTATACGAGTTATTTGCATCCTGTGTATACATGCTGTGAAAAGGGTACCATCGTAGTGACCATCAAGTATGTACCGTCGACCACAATTACAGACCGACAATGCTTCCATCCACGTATTGATGCACCAAGTGCCATAAAACAATACTTGAATCTATCGTGACTATCAACATCCAACTCTGTGACCGTACCTAAATTCTTTTGCCGAAACACGTAGAAGAAGCTTGGTATCTTACCGAATGAATCGATTGGATCACCCATAACCATCTTTAAGGTATGCTAGCGGGATCTCCATACTTTCGAATAATTCAAATAAACACCATAACTCTGCAACGTATCACTGCATATATCCTTCGGTGTGTATATGGTATTGGATAATGTGTACTTATATTTGATGCTAGGAGACACAAATGTAGTTGATACTTGCCTGTGTGACCCCAATACGACGTTCGATGCACATGTGTGACTACCCACCTTTCGAATCTTAAATAGATTTGTTTTACCCCATTTTGACGATCTACAAATCCAGCTACAACCTTCTTGTGAACACCTCACAACATATTTTTTTCTTATCAGACCGTTCAACCATAAACTCAAACATATTCTATATGGAAAAAAGGGATAGGCTCAACTTTAAATTTTCTNCACTAGGAGGAAGGTTAACCGGAATCGTATTAGAAGGTTTTTCTACTTCTGCAGTAGTCACATCAACAATTACTGGGTATTTAGCAGGATCGCGATCCATTTCCTTCAGCAGAAGGTATGATTGCACATTTCTTTCATTTTTTATCGAGAACGACGGCAAATTATCATTTAGTACATACGTCAACGACACTGTCACCTTCGTCGGATCCAAACTAAACTCTGTCATAACCGTGTCAACAAGGTTTACATAATCGCATCTATGGTCTACCAACGCCAATGATGATTGAGCTCCATGCAACAGACATACATGCAAATACACCATTTCTGTGACTTCCAATTCATCAGTTAATAAAGGCATTCACGAACTAAAATGAAGGCATATTTCCAAACAAGTCATTTATGACAAAAAATTGCAGATGACATTGGGAGCCGCACATGTCACATTTCATCTACAACCATTATCTATTTCATCACACAGCATGATATGAGTAGTCACATATGCAGATATCACCTTCACAGTTGGTAATGTGACATTATGGTCACATTCTCAACCAAGTCACATATGACCAAAATTAATGTCCTCCCAGTTCGCTTACCAAACTTCTAACAGTACTCGGTATGCAATGAGATGTAATGTGATGATGAAATCCACTTACTAAGCTTTTTAATATTTGATCAGATCTCGTTATTTGCAAGCTCTTAGATGTTTATTCATGGTCACATATACGCATGTTAAGGTCACATTTCAATATTTGCAGGTCACGGGTCGATCATGCATGGTAAGAGATAGCTATAATCATGTCACAGTTCATAAGTTATCGCAGTTTGGTCACATTTTGTTATTTGCTAGTTCTTAGTTGTTCATTCATGATCACATATATGTATTTTCACTTCACATATCAATAAAGCAGGTCACAGGACGATCACACATAGTAAATAATATCTAGTAACAGGCCACAAATAATTGACTCAGCAAATCTGAGTACGCACATTAGTCACATGTACGAATATGATGTAATAGGTGGAATAGAATTCACGCGACGTGTGACTCACGTTTTTGGCCGGACACGATCAATACTTATGTGACTAGAAATAGATTCAGTTGCTGAAAATGTGAATGTACATTGATAGCACTGAACAAAATAATCGAATTAATTTCTTGAATTGTATTATCTTGTGCGAATTCGGATTATATTTAACCAAATTGATTTCCAAATCTGTGACGCGAAGCATGAATGTGGGATCGTTCAATTTGTAACCATTCTATTGATCAGCTAACTATCCAGACAACATAACTATAATTACCTTGGAGTTCTTTTTCCAGCCTCTTTGGGTATCGAAACTATTGCCAAGTTATTATGTCTTCTTCGGTTAAAAGCTACAGGGTGTACATCAAAATTCAAAGGCATCTCTTAACTTTTAAGAAACTATCAGTATTAACATGTGAATAGTACAGTACAAGAGGTGATAAAATTTAGAGATAGCATCATCAAGTAGCTCCAGCTGAAGGAACAAACAAATTTGGAGGTAGATTGATGGCGCCGCCTCCTTTCACGGATATATTAGGACTCCTGGTTGCGCTGGCGTTGCTCACAAGATGTGAGTCGAGAAACACGACAACAACAGTGATGTCATCATGGAAATGCCGACGGACTCCACGCTCAATTTTCTTCAAGTCGGAGTACCTCATTTCCCTCTTCTTCGCGGCAGCTTGCAACGCTGCTTTCACTAGTCTCCTAGCACTCCCCTGCACAAATAAGTCAAACTAAAATTGTAATATCTTATAATCTAAGGAGGAGGAGGAGGAGAGCTGAACTCAAAAAGTTATTTATTTTGAAACGGGCTATTGTGTATCACCAATAACTAGTATTAGTGAATACATCATCACAATCTCTATTGATAGGTTTTGCATCAGTAGAGGACTTGTTATGACATCAAGAACAAAATACTGACGAGAATTGGTAAATAGTGGTGTTATTGGGCAATTTTAATGTGAAACTTTTAACTATGTTACATAGTATTTTTCACATTCGAAAGCCACTAATATTTGAAGCATTAATTATCTTACGCTGCGTGGATGATTTTGGACTAGATCAACAGCTTCTTGGTTGGTGAGGTGTTCCCACAGGCCATCTGACGCAAATATAATGAATTGATCTTGAGGTAGCAATTGGTGCACAGAAATTGATGGCTCTGAACTCAAAATTGGTCTTTTGAAAGATCCACGAAGTCGAAACTTAGCTTGTAATGGCTCCCTATTGAATTCAGCCTTCTTCAAATACACATCACCAATTGATCTGGATATCTGCGAGCACAATCAAACTTCAGATGTGTCACAATTAATTAAGTAAAATCATACAGAACATTATCCCGTGGCTAGCTGATATCATCTTCAACTGGCTTCCATGCGAAAACGTGCAGCAGGAACTAATGTCAATATTTATAAAATGTCAGCAGATAAAATTCACCACAACAATGATTTTACTGACCTGTATAATGCCCTTAACACGCCACACATTATGCTTTAGAACTACTATTTGTGAGTCATCTGGGTGAAGAGATTGCAGCTCCTGTCTCACAGACTCAATACTAGCATTGTGTTCAGTAGACAGTTGAATGGCCAGTACTTCCCCTGTTGCCTTGACAAGTCTACCCATAACAGCTCGGGAATCGCCAAGGTTGGCAACATAGAGAGTTAAGTTGCAGATAACTCCTACAAGGCAGCATGTGCCAACTGATGCTATCTGTGGTTTAGTTGGCCACTGTTCGCTGACAACTGAAAAAAAACCATCTTCTGTTGCTTGAAATGCCTTCCGAATTACCTCCGTTGACATAGTCTTATGCTCGGAGGTGAACCCTGCACAATTCAAAACATAGTTTTTGAGCTCAAAACCATAAAATTCTTAAGAGATTAGTTAAATAGCACAGGGATTAGTTTGTCCTGTCACTTTTACAGCTATAAGTCAGCAGTTTAATATTTTTAATCCAATTTCACATCTCACAAGAAACATTAGCAAACTAGGAAACTCAAAATTGGCAAGTAATACAGCTCTTTTGAGTTAACAACTGTAATAATTAGTAATAGGAGTATATATACAAAAGATCACTTATGAAATCCTGAAGTCTTTTTCTATCTTTTTTATTTATTGGGAGAGTCAAACATTAAAACTAATTAAAAATCATAGACTAGTTAACTTCGAGGGACTTACTTCTAAGATGTTGGAAGAGGTTATCATTGACAAATCGAGAAGCCTCAGGGCCACCATGTCCATCATAAATCCCCACAAAAGTGCCATATGGCCCAAAACCAAGGGCGTCTAAACTACCCGATTCAAGTTGGCTCTGATCCTCGATTAAATTATTAGCTTGAACTACCGCCATTGAAAACTCTCCATTAAAATGCTGCCCTGAGTCCTTATACCACAGAAGCCCCACTTGACAACCACTAATATCTGAACCTGCTTTCGGCCGAAAGCAGGCCCTCATTAAGTTCATCAATCCCGATAACATACCTCATTTCATCCAAACCACCCTCCACATCTAATGAGGACTCTAGCTAATTCTGTCCTCCACAGCAGAAAGTCTGCACAAGAAGTCTAGATGAACACGAATATCAAGCACATAAACAAACAGAATTATAATTTGAACAATAACAATTCAACAAATGAAGTGCACTAGAAATACATAAAGGTCCCAACTTTATGATCAATTCAGCTGCGAATTGCTATAAAGCTACGCAGGAACAAGATCTTCGAATGTGAAACAGATCTTTGACTAAAAACAGAAAAAAAAAAAAAANGGTCAGCCAGTTCTCATTCCAAAAAGATCAATTCCCAACAAAGAGAGAAATATAAATCAAAAACCCAATTTATTGAAATCATGAAACTCTCCCGTCACAGTAATTCAATTCAAAAATTACATCTTTCCCAAATAAAAGAGCAAGAAACACATGTGCAAACATGGGATTGTAGAAAATCTGTTATTGATGTTACCTTCAAGTATCGAACCAGAAGAACATCTGAAAGTGAAATAGATTAGATCTGTGGATCCGCCAAATCAAAGAAGAAATTGACCTGGGTTTATGATTTTAAAAGTTCTCCTCTCTTTTCTTTGTGGCATGAAGATGATGAAGATGATGAGGAGATGGAAAAGTGAAAACAACATATAGAGATAGAAAGCAGAGTGGGAGTTCTTAAGCAGATAGCGATATTACTATAGCAAATTAGGGTTTAATTGATTGGGCGATCTGAAACTAGGGTCTCTCTCAGCAGACAAACCCCATAAAAACCAACAGTGGAGAGAGCTACAAGCCAGCTAAGCAGATGGCCAACTGGTGCACCGCGTCAAGTTCCCACACTGATAAACGGGTAAAAGGGTGGGTGATGGACGACTTGAAAATTAAAATCCGATTTTTAGTAAATTTTAATAAAAATTAATAAACTATATGATTGAAAAGTCGTAAACCACTTAAAAAATATAGTTAAAATTAATCTTAGACTTAATTTTTATTAAAAATTCCTACCAAACAAGGAACACAGCATACTTCATAGAGGGAGACATCACTATTTTATTGGTTCACATCACATGCATTTAGACTATGAGATAATTTATAAGGATCTGTTTGATTGCAAATGTGAAATTTGGGGGGAAATAAAATAAATTACGGGAAATTGAATTGCCTAGAATTTGTTTGACTAGAAATTGTAATTAATTGTATTTGACTGATATAATTTTCCACCTAAAAAATGTTGAAAGTTTGATGTCTCTTCATTTTTCATGGAAATTGTCCATTAAAATAATAATTTTTTTATCATTTGATTTAGAATTTGTTCACATTGCCAAAAAATAAAAAAATAATAAATTAAATTAAATTTAAAAAAAAATGCTAAACTGGAAAACAATTCTCCCTTAAATCATGGAAAATGGCGGACAAAATCAAAAAAAATCATTTCCTTGAAAAAAAAAAGTGTATCAAACATGCAAAAAATGAATGATGGAATTCATTTTCCATTTTTCATGGTAAACTTGGGTCAATCAAACATGACCTAAGATAAGTCTGTCTCAAATTTTAAACTGTTGAACAACCATGCTTACTAAAGAAAGTTCAATTATCGAAGTTTAGAATAAACCCCACGTTACATTGGCTAAAAGCAAAATTGGTTCATGAGGCACTTGCCATTTGATATGAATAGTCGCGATCATTTTCTAAGTAGTTTGATTAGAAAGAAGGATTTTTAGTTACCTTTTGACGTTTGTTATTTGGCATAGTCCACGGAAAGATGATCAGTCCAATTCAAATGTCTCTCTCTACCCTAAATAATATTCACAATTGGTATCTATTAGAAACGTACTTTGATGTAAAAGGTTGTCAAGAAAATTGTCCTTAATTCTGTCATTCATGGCCGACTTTTATTGTGGCAAAACATAAAATTTGTAAGTACAATTATTTGCATGGTGTCATTTTAATGTGAACCCTTCTCCACATTTAGGTTCGGATAAAATTTATTGAAAGTTGGTTTAGAACTCAAGTCGAGAGAAAAATACATTTTGTTTATTTAAATTATTTAGTAAATTCAGTAGAGAATAAAATATATGTTGTGATCATGATAAATTGAATGCATTACACTCTAAAATAACACAACAAAATAAAAGAAAGGCTCGTTTAAAGTTACGAATCAAATCGATGCTAAACATCAGACATCTTAATGGTCCAAACTGTGGACGAACACCCAATAAGATTAGGCAAAAGCACTTTGGCCAGCCACAAGCTCACAAACAAGATAGACTTTGATCAAATAAGATCAAAATTACCTCATGTAAGTTTACTCCGTAAGTCGATAAATTAAAAAGAATACATGTCAAGCGAAAAGTAAAAACATAGTCACACAAGACTCAAACGACAAGTTCATACTTGAAACGACTTTTCGTGTAAAAAAACTCCCGAGTTTTATGGATATGAAACACTTTTTAATGTTAGCATACGAGAAAATGTTGTGGCACTTATCTACTATTAATGATATTTTTAAATGCATAATGACGAGATATTAACACGAGGAATTGGAAAAATTAAGAAACACGTAACTAAATTGAAAAGATTCCCATTTATCTAATTCATTTTCTCTTATACACATTGAAAAAAACAAGTTTAAAACATCAAATTCCGACGCAAATTTTGAAATTTTTAACCAAGTGATAAAGCAAGCCTTTGACAACACGGTAGTTCTCATAGTATTGGAATATTAAGTGTGAGGTTCACCAAGCAACAAGTGCAAGAAAAAAAAAAGTCTATTATGGGACCTTTGTGAATTGGAATTTAGCAATGAAAATTATTATATGACAAAACAAAATGCACGGCCGATCAAATTTGACTTGCCTTATCTTCACCACCATCTAGAAAATGACTCACAGGGATGATGTTCTTCTTGTACTTGAATCAATTGTCTTAAAACGAAAACAATGTATTTAGTCTAGGTTATGACTGGTTGCTTTAAATAGGTGGAGCCCCAAATTATTAGGTAGTTATTCAACAATTATTTTGTAGTTGATTATTTGATCGAAAAATAAGTTTTTTTTTAATGAATAATACTATTCATCTCCACTGGGGTTACAAATACAGTCTAGATAGCGTTAATATGGTATTAAATGATATGCGAAATTAAATAAGTCATTTAATTTCACATTTCATTTAAGCTATCATTTAGAGCCATCTAAACTGTATTTGTAACCCCACTGGGGATGAATAACAATACTCTTTTTTTAATTGACATACGTCTTAATTGGCATACGTCTCTGTATAATTGTCTAGATGGACCAGAATGTTAGAGATGGTGCTGAAAAAGTAAAGTTGGAAATCAAGGTAAAACATGATACATGGTCGAGGAGTAATGCATTGATGGCTACCCTATTAAACGAAATTGTGGGCGGGAAAAAAATTATAACAAAGTATGATCATCTACTCATTAGGGGCTATTAAAGTTATTGTGGTCCGAAGGTTTGTATAATTCGATTGTGATTATTGAACATTTTTAATACTTTAAAAGTATTTGTTTGTATTTTGAAATTTTAGTGGAAGGGGAAAATGATGGAAAGCTAATTTACATCTCATGTTGAGAAACTCTTTATATTCCTCGTTATTTGGTCCAATAAACGAAAATCGAAAACGAATTTCTTTTAGGAAAATTTCTATGTAAACCCGATGGTTCAACATTATTGATGACAAGTGTTGATTGAGTGAAAATTTTGTCAAAAAATTAAACCGTCAAATTGTGTATTGCCACGTGGCACGGCGTTAAAAATGATGTACATGTAATATGATTGTATTTTTTGATTGTCCGACTAGATGGTTAGAAATTTATTAAATATTGCTTAAATTACATGTACTCATTTGTCATTCCATCTTAAGCTTCCTTCTAACTAGAAAAAATAGGGAGAAACAAGATGTCGGACATCTAGCATGGTCCAAAAAAATAAGTTGTTGAATAAGCGAATAGCATTTTATAGATTCATTGAAATTTATGGTAGAAAATAAATTTGATCACTTTTAAAGGATTTGTAAAAAAAAATTTTAAGGTCAATAAACTTTATTAAACTAAATCGCCACAAACCATTGGCAAAAGAAATCAAGGAATATAGTCAAACCATCGATATGTAAACCAATTAAGGGAAAAGAAAAAAAAAAACTGCCACTTTGTTCTCCTCTCGAGGAATAAAGTGACAGGATCCAGAGTCAATATCGAAAAGTAACATTTTTGTTGTGGTGCGACCTAAATTCTATGAGAATTGGATGGTTGATTGGATAGAGGAAGCCTAGAAAAGGCAGTTTGGAAGTCCTAATTGATAAGAATCAAATTGTATCAGGAGTTTGGAATTTGATTGGGAAAATGACTTTATAATAACGAAAAACATCATTGGTAAAATTGGGAATGAAAGTCTCATTCTTATCAGTCTTTTGTTTCAAGAAGAATATTTGTCATGAATTGATCATAAGATGATAGCAATAATTTTAATATCTGATAGTAGCGCCGCATTTGGAGTCCATCAAAGATCTTTCTTGAGACTCTACACCATTCAGAGGGAATCAATTTCAATTATTACTATTTTGAACCCAAGATCCCTAGCAAGTGTAAGCCCATCACTCAATGCTATTGCCTCTACATCCTCCACCTCATAGAATCTCATTGTTTTTTTTTTTATTGAGCCATCAACTGTTCCCGAATTGATAAAGTCATCTTCTCCCCTAATGCAACGTATGTGTTAAGTTTAAATCTATTAACCGGTGGAGGTGTCCATCTTATATTCATCATATTTCGCTTCTCATTTGAATAATAGTTACATAATGCCCCATTCCATTAGACAAGTAACTGAGTTTTAAATAGTATGTGGATTTCGTAGCATTTCCTTGTATTATTCGATTTCGTTCACCCCATATACACCTTAAAATGTACCCAAATTCAACCAATTCCAACCCCTTGCGTTATTTGTAGACA